AAAAATAGAAGAGAAAAGTCATACAAAGTTATATACAAATGACTACCCCCCTTTTTGTATTTCCTTAATTTATTTCCTTAATTGAATTTCGGTTGATTAGGATTGATTAGGACGAAGTTCCTTAAAAACCTCCGCCTTCTTTAAAATATCCTGAACAGTTCCTGTAGGTTGAGCCCCTTTTTCAAGGAAATATAAAATAGCAGGAACATTTAAATAAGTTTGATTCTTTATCGGATCATAAAAACCCACTTTCCGAAGATCTTTTCCTTCTCTTCGGGATCGAACATCAATTGCAACGATTCGATAGACGGCTCATTGGGATAGATGTAGATGAACAACACCCCCCCTAGAAACGTATAGGAAGCTTTCTCCTCGTACGGCTCGAGAAAAATGATTGATTCGAGGTTTTATCTCTGTATGGAATTCTATCTAAGAAATGACAACTGGGTCCATAAAATGATCAAATCAATTAAAGATGTAAGTCTTTTTTTTTCTTCTTTCTTCCTGAAAATGAAAAAGAAACCATTCGTACTCTCATAACTCAAGTTGGATAACTTTCAAACAGTTCAAAGGAAAATCTTTCGGCAATTTCATTTATTGAGCGGTCTTTCCTCCTTTTATGTTTGTCTCGTTTAAAATGGATTTGGATTCTTCAGTTCGATCCAGTTATTAAGACAATAAAAAAGGTGTTTCCTTGTTCTGGGATCCTTTATCTTTGTTTTATTTTAAATCATTGGGTTTAGACATTACTTCGGTGCTTTTTAATCCTTTCAAAATGGCAGCAACATACCCCTTTTGCGATTTCTATGAAAGAATCCTACAGACGATGGATTCCCGCGTGAAACACTTTGGATCGAAAAAGTTTGATCAATTCCAAGGAATTTTTGAATTGGAAACTTGCTCGAATTGGATTCTTTCGATTTCCATACCGAAAATATATTTACGAAGTTGTTCCAATTTTTTTATTGATTGGCATTAACCCTAGACTCTTGCCCCGAGAAATAAATTAATACTTTCTACTCGAGCTCCATCATGGACTATTTACATTCCAAGACAACAAAAAAGAGGGGTTCTAATGAAACAGAACCAATGATGTCGAGCCAAGAGCACCTTCATTCCTACATAAAATGGTGGATGTACAAATCCACAACGGATCCTGTCCTTCAAGTCGCACGTTGCTTTCTACCACATCGTTTCAAACGAAGTTTTACCATAACATTCCTCTAAGAACCGGTATGGAATTGATTCAATTATGGAATCATGAATAGTCATTGGTTGGGCTGATGTATAAACACCATAATCTATACTTTGTTCTATATCTATATACTATAGAGATAGGTGGATAAATATTTTTCTTTAGTAAGACCCCATCGCTAATATTAATTTATCTAACATATTAATTAATATTTAATATATAAATAATATATAGAAATAATAATAAATAAGAATAATAATAAATAAGACGAATAAATGAGTTCTTTTTGATTCTGCATCTTCACGTGACTCAATAGGAGAGATTGACCTATTTCATACTTCTTCAAATAGCAAAGATTCCGCTTATAAGGAATGATTAAAACTATTTATATTTCTAAATTTAGAAAGTTCCCTTTTCGACATCATTATTTGAAGAAAATTTGATAGTTAAAGATCACTTTTGATCATCTTAGGAAAGAAAAAAGATAAGTCTTTCTTTTTTAATTGAATCATCAACGATTTCAATGATCTAAAATAGATAAATACACCAAACAACAAATCCAATTTTTTTTTATGAGATGGATAAAAAAAGATTAATATAAGGTAAGATTTTCATTCTTATTCTTTTTTTTTTTTTTCATCTGATTGATAAAATCCAAAGAATGGGGAGGGTTTCGTATCTATCAATTCGATCAAATAGACTGAGCAATTGTCACCGTTTATAGATATTGAAATGAATGCCTTCCCATTACTGATTAACTCCTATCTACCCCATTCTATGGGACTGATGCAGCATAAATCAAAAGAAAAGAGGGGGGTGTCCTAGTCTTTTTGATTTTTACGAAATGCGAGCTGTCTAGGCACAAAGCCAAACAAGTCCAGATTAAGTCAAGTTTTTGCTCCTATTTTTTGATATTTTAGCCTAACTCATTGATTAAGAATTAAGAGACTTAGTGAATTTAATTAGTACCAAAAATCCCCTCTTGGCGAAAAGTCAAGAAATCCACAAAAAAGAAAATGGAATCTAATTAGGCTAATTTAGGGGATAGAGAATACGAGATAGGGAATATAGATTCTTTCGCATCTCGATTCCGTTTTTGAAAAAAAAAAATGATTCATCGAAGAAAAAAATCAGAAACAACAATCACATTCCAGCTAACATTTCGATTTTAAACAGAACATTGTTAAAAAAGCAATCTATATTCTCATAGAATATATATATGTTCTGGGACGGAAGGATTCGAACCTCCGAATAGCGGGACCAAAACCCGTTGCCTTACCACTTGGCCACGCCCCATTTAGATTT